GTGTTTGCTTGTAATGTATGTAGAATTTCTACAAACAGTGCTAAAAGAGAATCTACATGGAAAACAAATACAACTGAGATCTACGAGTTAAAGTCTAAAGAACATTGCTTTAACAGACAGATAAACCTACTCTAACCTGAGCTTCAGGCTCTCCCCACCATCACCGCTTCCATCCTCCTGCAGCAGTCGTGCTGCATCGTCTATTGAATAAGATATTATTTGTCCAAAAGAAAAAAGTTGCGTGTTAGGATGTACTGAATGTAAGAAAGTGTACTGGTTCCTGTATGCACAGTGCAGGTGATTAAGAAGAGATGGAGGTGACAGAATGAAGGTTTACACCTGAACACCTGAAACCCCGAATGACCTTGACCACCACAGGAGGTTGAACCCTCTCTGAATAGAAGCCGTCAGCCCACTGGTCACAGTTCCCACCCTGCAGTCCCTTTTCAGAGAAAATGTTTTTTCACAGGAACTTACATTAATGCAGATGAATGTACGCTTGTGTAGCCTTGCTTTTAGACGGCATGCAGTATTGTATGTAGAGCACGACTGCATTAGTCCCCGTCCTCGTCCTGATGTTATTCTTCACGGTGCACTAAGTCGATTAACATCACATCCCAGTGACTTCTTCTCTGATTTCCCTGGAGATCTACTGTATTATAGATGGTCACTGAAAAAGTGTTTGGCACTAAAGAGAGACAACCGCAGAGAACGCTGTGCGTGAGGTGACGTGTGGCAAAGACGAGTGCGTTTGTGTGTGCAGTAACGCGGCGCTTCATGATCAAAGAATTGTTATTACGTCTAAACTTCAGTCCGTCCACTCGCTCTCTCCCCCCCGCTTACTCTCTTAATACCCTGAAGAGAAGGTCTAAAGGTGCAGTATGGGAGTATTTCACTCAACCAACACTTGCAAAGACCATCTGTAACACTTGCAAAGAAGGTGTTAGCATGGGAAGAGCAATTGCTCTTAAAAGCAAAAACAAAGATCTCTTTTGCGACATTTAATTTACCATATGCTGGAAGGCATTCAAACAAGGTTCTGTGTTATTCTAAATCAAACTGAGAATTCAATTATTAATGCAAATGTGTATTAGTTCCAAAAATCGATTATCGGTCTCCTTGATTACTAATAATCGGTAACAGACCTAAAACACACACATCTATTGATCCTTCATTTCCGGCATTGGAATATAAAGAGTTCCCAGTTTTCAGTAGCCTCCAGCACTTTTACATGTAATGTGTAAAGAAGAGTCACTGCAATGACCAATAATCATCACCAACTTTATTTTATTTATTGGTTTATTTGAACGGGACAGTGCACATTAATAAAAACATTTCTGCAAATGTGCCAGAGTTAGCCAAAAGGCTATTTTTCATCTGTAGTCCCTACAGATGTGGCACTAGTGTTGATAAAACAGTGGCTTGATGCCAAAGAGGACTGGTAGTCTTTTTCTTTGTTTTGGTGGGTAGTTGAGAACGTACGAGGACAAGAAACCGAGGTGAGACAGACGCAGGTAAGTGGGTAAGGATGCAGGCTTGTGGGTGCCAAGTAATAGAGTCATGTTGATCACTTACTGCATTAGTGCAATGACCCAACATTAGACATTATACATCAGCATGTGGTTCACTATAGTAATCAATCCCATCAGACGAGGGCCACAAATTATAATACAGATGCCGTCCAAGCTGTATTTTTAAGTAAATGTCAGTGACAAAATATGATTTTAAACACATCCACATACATTCATATAAAAGCACTTTAAGGCAGAATATGTTTTATTTGAAACATGTCTGTGTGGTATGTTTTTTATTTTCTTACAGTATCAGCCCATGGAAGGTCGCCTCCACTGTCCTCCTTCATAGCTGTTGCTAAGTAACTGGTTTTTAGATGATTAGACGTCTCCCCTACTGTGATGTTCCGACACATATTTACAACCAGCTTCTTCAGAAGCTGCTGCGACATGATGCAACATGACACAACCTGGCTACAACATAAAAGGAGGCTGAACAGACCCGTCATTATTTAGCCCAGAGAAGAAGATAAACCAGGAAATATCACAGTGGCAGTGTACCGACGCTTCAATGCTCATCTTAAATCAACACCGATCAGATCACATCTATTTTGTATCTTAGCCGTGAAAAGAAGCATGCTGACCTCGAAACATTAGGTTACCTGTCAACAGAAAATACAATTAACTATCTGAAGACAGAAATGGACAAATAACAGCACCCATCGGCACCAGGATACGTTTATCTAATAAAATCAATAAGGCTGAAGTAGCTTTATAATATTACCCTGTAAGAAGTTCAATGATGTCACTAATCAAATGCAATGCAAGATGTGGAATCAATATCTGTAGTAAAGAATGGACAATGATGCATTCTAAGATATTGCGTGCATTGTCATGCAGCCACTTCTCTAGTTAGTCTCCACCGCAATTAGTTTAGCTGCGATGTTGTCAGCTGTTAGCGAGTGTCTGGTCGAGTGAGAGAGAGCGCGGGCGTGTGTGAGTATGTACAGTAACAGTAGCGTTACAGCTGTGAACGTAGCAGTGCTACTCCCATTTGATGACCTATGGATACTCATAAAACCCCTCTTCAAAAAATCTGAACTATCCCATGAATGTCATTGCATATGTGAGCATTTAGAGGATGTAACTGAGGACAAGTTGGTACATGCATAGTGCATACCACTGTGTCACAAAGGCAGGGTATGTAAATCATAAACAGAGAGTATGTGCATTGTAGCATTGTAGTAAATAGGTCAGGACACACAGGGCATCTGCACAAAGATAGAGAAAGGTGGCTTGAGGCTGTACTTGCTGACCTCCAGCTATAACTTCACTGTTTCATACTCATCGTCACACACGCACCCTCTCTCCCTCCCAACCAGACACTCGCTAACGTTACGCCAGGTTTGAAATGCACTGGCTGAAACCCTGACAGAGTGTAAAAGGCAGTTTCCTGTTTTGCTCATATACTCTGCAGCTGGGCAGCTTATTAGGAACTCCAACCACAGCTCCCCTGCATGCAAGGCACTAATGATGTCGGTTAACAGTTGACGAATGATCGGTTGACGAGGATAGACTGTGTTCAGAACAAACAAATTAAAAGTAACGTATTTGAAAGCAAAAACTTACGAATTATCAAAATTTGGGAGAAATAGCATCTACTTTCTTCTGCTCTTAGGGATTGTCAAGAAAGAGGCACACACACACACACACACACACACACACACACACACACACACACAC